TCACATATATCACACTTTGTTTCGGCCCCGAAAAAAACTGTTAGGGAGGGGGCCCTTACATGTTTTTTCACCCAAATATGATTTTCTCTCAGACTTGAAATTTAGTGGGATTAATTTTAGTAATAAAGTACATCCAGAAAAACATAAAAATACCAACCAATCACCTCGAAAACAAATAGTTGGCGAGTACTGAAATAAGCATTGAAAAAAAAATTAATAAAAATATTCTGAATGTGATTATGACCTCTAATTATTCCGCAATAGAACTGTGGATATGAGATTTGGAATCAGCATGCTGATTTTGAACAAAATCGCATACAGTATTACCCCGCTTTACACGGTTCCACTTTCCGCGATTTCTCATTTACGCCGTACCTTGCCAGAACCGGATTTTCACTGGACTTTCACTTTCCGCGGTGCATCTACTCATATAAGCGGTGAAGTATAATTTTTTTTTTAATTAGCTCATAAAATTCATACAAATTACCTGGCCAGAATATAATTTACATTGCTGGAATTCTTACAATATGACGATCATTTTGAATATAAACATCATGGATTTTGCATTAAACATACAAATTTTAGATCTAATGTAATAATTTGGTTTACACAAAGCAAATATTTTATCTTTTGTGCAAAATATATGAAATTTATATTCAAAATATTCCCTGAACAGCAAGGAATCCAGAAATGTCAATTATATTAACCTAACTTTAGTCTGAGGTATTATTTATTGCTAAACGTTAAAATCTAGTGTTTTCGCCCAAACATTTCTCAGAGAGGTAGGAGCTAGTGAGCTGGGAAGAGGGGGGGGGATTTGAGTCCATTATTTGAATGGACATAAACCTGGCGACTGTATTTCTCTTAAATATTAATTGTGTGAGCATACCATCATAAAATTAAGATGTTATTTTTACTACAACATAGGTATTGTGTTGGAAAAAGTGGAGTTTGGGGGTCAGGCCAGTCTCTATTGGAATTAATCCCATATGTTCTGTTGTTCACTTTACGCAGTTTTCACTTTCAAAGGTACCCCATGGGTTCAATTGACCAGTAAATCGTAAATCGGGGTACTACTGTATATCGCGCTTTGTTTTGGCCCTGAACAAAAACTGTAAGGGGGGACCCTTACATGTTTTTTGCACCCAAACATGATTTTCTCTCAGACTTGAAACTTAGTGGGATTAATTTTAGTAAAAATGTACATCCAGAAAAACATAAAAATGCCAACCAATCACCTCGGAAACAAATAGTTGGCAAGTTCTGAAATAAGCATTGAAAAAAATTTAAAATAACCTAAACGTCATTATGGCCTCTAATTATTCCACAATCCAACTGTCGATATGAGATTCGGAATCAGCATGCTCAGGAGTACCTAAACTGGGATTTTGAACAAAATCACATATATCACACTTTGTTTTGGCCCTGAACAAAAACTGTAAGGGGGGACCCTTACATGTTTTTTCACCCAAATATGAATTTGTCTCGGACTTAAAATTTAGTGGGATTAGATTTAGCAATAAAATATATCCAGGAAAAAACATAAATATGCCAACCAATCACCCCGGAAACAAATAGTTGGCGAGTACTGAAATAAGCATTGAAAAAAATGCTTCAGGCTTGCTATGATGACGCAAGAGATCTGCCCTGGCAACAGTACCAACACTCACAACTGGTGGTGCGTTGTTGCGTCGTTTCCATTGTTTACTGGTAGTTACTGGTAAATATTTTTCAACCTAAAGAAACTATTACCCTTTTAGAGGTCGACCGCCAATTTTTTGCCAAATAATTTGGTCTTAAAAATTCGAACTACACACAGGTATATACGGTAAATAAGGACATGGGGGGCCAGGGGTTTTTTAGGGGGGGTGGGGCAGCAATAGTACACGGATTTTTAACATTCACGGGTATCTATGTCACCTAATCCCCGCGTATGTTAAGGGCCGACTGTATATCGCACTTTGTATCGGCCCTGAAAAAACTGTTAGGGGGGACCCTTATGTGTTTCTTTACCCAAATATGATTTTCTCTCAGACTTGAAATTTAGTGTGATTAATTTTAGTAGTAATGTACATCCAGAAAAAAATAAAAATGCCAACCAATCACCTCGGAAACAAATAGTTGGCGAGTACTGAAATAAGCATTGAAAAAAAATTAATTAAAATATTCTAAGCATCATTATGACCTCTAATTATTCTGCAATCGAACTGTGGATGATAGATTCGGAATCAGCATGATCATGTGTACCTATACTGTGATTTTGAACATAATTGCATATACAGTATTACCCCGCTTAACGCGCTTTCACTTAACGCGTTTTCGCATATACGCGGTGCCTTGCCAAAGCTGAACTTTCACTTAACGCGGCATTTTTCATCATATACGCGGTGAGTGTCCGGCTCGAGAGCTATTTTTAGATTCGCACCACCCCCCACCCGCCACCCTGCCTGACTGCCTGTTTTAGCTCATAAAATTCATACAAATTACCCAGCCAGAATATAATTTACATTGCTGGAATTCTTATAATTTGGTGATCATTTTGAATATAAACAACATATATTTTGCATTAAACATACAATTTTTAGATAAAAATTGTTCTCTAGGTAATTATGTTATCTTTTGTCCAAAATATATGACATTTATATTCAAAATATTCCTGGTCTTACAAGGAATCCAGCAATGTCAATTATATTATCCTAACTTTAGTTTGAGGTATTATTTATTAAAATTTAGTGGTTATCCCACACATCTCCTTGGGACGGTTGGTGGGGGGTGGGGGGGAGGGAGGGACCGACCGACCGACCATCTGTTACCCCGTGAAGAATTATTTTTTTTTTTATTAACTGAAGATATTTGTTTTAGCTCATAAAATTCATACAAATTACCCGGTCAGAATATAATTTACATTGCTGGAATTCTTATAATTTGGTGATCATTTTGAATATAAACAACATATATTTTGCATTAAACATACAATTTTTAGATAAAAATTGTTCTCTAGGTAATTATGTTATCTTTTGTCCAAAATATATGACATTTATATTCAAAATATTCCTGGTCTTACAAGGAATCCAGCAATGTCAATTATATTATCCTAACTTTAATCTGAGGTATTACTTAATACTAAATGTTAAAAACTCTTGAATGGAGGATTGGTGGGGGGTGGGGGGAGGGTTGGGACTGACCACGCGGTTGGAAGAGGTGGGGAAGGCAAGGTGGGGTACTTTGATTGACAGATAGTGTCGAAGAATATTTTTTTTTTTTATTAACTGAAGATATTTGTTTTAGCTCATAAAATTCATACAAATTATCCGGCCAGAATATAATTTACATTGCTGGAATTCTTACAATTTGCTGATCATTTTGAATATAAACATCATAGATTTTGCATTAGACATACAAATTTTAGATGTAAAGTTTATTCTGAGTAAATATGTTATCTTTTGTGAAAAATATATGACATTTATATTCAAAATATTCCTGGTCTTACAAGGAATCCAGCAATGTCAATTATATTATCCTAACTTTAGTTTGAGGAATTATTTATTACTATACCTGGTTTTCCCCCAAAAATTTCTCAGAGGGAAGAGCCAGTGAGTGTAGTGTGAGAAGAGGGGGAGGGAGTTGAGTCCATTATTTGAATGGACATTAACTTGGCGACTGTATTTCTCTATTTCTCTTAAGTATTAATTGTGTGCATGTACCATCATAAAATTAAGATGTTATTTTTACTACAACATAGTTATTTGTCGTCAAAAAGTGGAGTTTGGGGGTCGGGCTGGGTTCTATTGGAATTAATCCCATATGTTCTGTTATTCACTTAACGCGGTTTTCACTTAACGCGGGACCCTCTGGGTTCAATTGACCGCGTTAAGTGGGGTACAACTGTATCACACAATTGTTAAATAACACAAGAACGGGAGCTGGTACAATTTATGAATGTTGGGAAACAAAGTACAGGGAGTTATGAGCTTGCTTCAATCTTTTGACTTGCTGTGTAGGCCATTACTTTATGCCTGTATGTATGTACGATTGTGGGTGCATGTTCCTAAGTAAAAAAAAAAAAAAAAGTTATGTACATTATATCTACCCAAAATTATGAGTTGAAAAATAACCATAACACCTCACAGCTCTGCCTGGTAGGGAGAGGACTAGGGGGATAAAGCTAAAGTGACGAGTCTAACTTGGGAAAAATTCTGACAATGATGTTAATAATACAAATGAAACATAAATTTTCTGTAAATCTTCATTTGTATCAGGTATTTGTAGATGTAAAGTGGCATATACAGTGCTGTATAGTGAATGAAGTTCTCCTCTTCATGCAGCAACATAAAAGAAAGAATCAAGGGGTATGGCAGGCAAGCCCAGGATAAAGAAGCTTACTGGTAAAGTTAGCCTACTATGGTGCATAAATTTTAACCCCTCAAAAATACTATGCTTATGTAGTTCTGATTCTTACTTATTGCATAAAAATTTGAAGAAAAAAGCTCAAACTGACCTTACGTATATACAGTAATATTTTGTATTTTATTTTATAAATGGTTCTTTTCAATACAACCTGACCAGCTATTAAGTTATCCAAATATAAATCTACATACAATTGGTGACTGGACTCTTTTGTTCCTCTTTGAGTAAAGCCTCACCAGAGATTATGGAAGGCATGCACATTAATATTTTACCCTTCAGCACTTATTTTCTTTGAACTAAATTTACGATTTTTTTTACTGCATATTTCATATATTTTTACCTTTAATATCAATGAGTTTTTTAAATGGAATTTACAAATTTGGGAAGACTGTCCAGAATGCTTCCCCAATTTTTCCTTTAAAATTAAGGTAACTGGAAAAGCCTTTATAAGTTAAAAAATTTCACTATATGAAAAGTTTTTAGGAAAGCATCCTTTTTTTTTTAAATTGAGGAATAAACAAATTCCAAATTGGAGTACCCTAACATTTAGTTTAACATTTTAAAGCAAAATTTATACAATTCATATTTCTTACCTGTTAAAAGCTCAAACATTAGCACTCCTAAGGACCAGTAGTCAGCTGAGATATCATGGCCTTTGTTTAGAATAACTTCAGGTGCTACATATTCTGGGGTGCCGCAGAATGTCCAAGTTTTCCTTCCAACCTGCAATACAGATGAGAATGCATAAGTCTTTTACACAGTACTGTATAATTTTTCTTTTCCCATAAGTAAGTACAAACACTATTAAATGTTTATGGTTTTGAAAATTTAAAAACAACTACAGTAAAAGTCCAAAAATCCGGATGCCAAAAATCCGGACCACCCGAGAATCCGGACTTTTGGAAAACTAATTTTTTTTTTTTTTTTTTAGCGGGCTTTTGTGTGTATGTGCGCATGCGTGAGCGCCACAGCTGCACAGCGACAACAAGCGACCAAGTGGTCTCCACTTTAAAACGAGCAATCAAACTGTGACAACATACCGTATATACTCCATTCAAGTATTTATTCAAGTCAATTAGGAGGGAATATTATTGTAATACAACAGTTTTTTAACTAAACCATTCGAAAAGCGATTACGGTAACATCTTTTGAACGAAAGAAAGCGAAAGTCATTGTTTTCGTCACAATTTTATCCCACTTTCCACTGTAATACGTACGTAATTTCAGCAAAAATATTACATTTCCGTGAATGTATTATATCAAGCACAGTATGAATAGAATATCATTGTAATATAACAGAATTTTAACCGAAAACTATTAAAAAAACGAGTAACATCTCAAGAACATCGGAAGCTTAGGTAAAGTCTTTTGTTTTCGACATGTATTTTATCCTATTTTACATTGAAATACATCATGTTTCAGCAAAACTACTATTTATTTCCGAGAATATATTCATTCAGGCGCAGTTTAGGTAAAATATACGTGTGATGTAATAGTTTTTTAACTGAAAACGATTCGAAAAACACGTACCCTCTAGCCCTGTTCAAGGAGAGGACTGGGAGAAGCTGTTTGGTGCTGCAGACGATGACAAAGAAAATGATTTTGATGGATTTTAATGAAAATATTCAGAAATATGGTATCGTAGTATTTATTCAAGTCAATTAGGATAGAATATTATTGTAATACAGTACAACAGTTTTTTAACTAAACCATTCGAAAAGTGATTACGGTAACTTCTTTTGAACGAAAGAAAACGAAAGTCATTGTTTTCGTCACGATTTGATCCCACTTTCCACTGTAATACGTACGTCATTTTAGCAAAAATATCACATTTCCGTGAATGCATTATATCAAGCACAGTATGAATAGAACAATATTTTGACTCCTACTCTTTCAATTTACAGATTACTGTACAAGCCCATAATAATGGCTCCTAAAGTAGATAAACTTCGTTGTGTGAAGAGAAAGAAGAACACGTTGAAATTGAGTGACAAACTTGAAATAATTAAGAAACTAGTACGTGGTGTGAGCAATGCTGTTCTAATGGAAAATACAACATTGGAAAGTCTACAATTTATGATATCAAAAAGGCAAAGAATAAAATTATAGAATTCACAGCTTTTTCATTAAAACTGCTCGTTTTGATAAATAAAGCATGCTATATTTGCTAATGAATAAACTATCAAAATGTACCTGTTCATCTCTTCTTTATTCCTCCTTAAATTTTAATTTTAAAAGTACTGCCTGAGAATCCGGAAAATCCGAAAATCCGGACCGACCCAATCCCCAAGCAGTCCGGATTTTTGGACTTTTACTGTACAATAAACCCTAATTTTATTTTTTTAATTTCAACAATTAAAAATTGACTAAAACTCATGTTAAATTTCTGGGTAAGTGAGGCAGATTATCCTCAAAATTTAAAAGAGCATGGATTACTCAGTTTTGTCTACACTCACTCCAGCCACTTATGAGGATGTATCAACAGTTATCATAATGTGACGATGATCAATGGGTGACACATTAAAAGATAAATGAAATACAAAACATTTAAAGCAATGGGGGAAAAATACAAACACTTATGTAATTTTACATTTGCATTGTGTTATGGAAGTCTTCAGTCTCACAAGTGATGTGATACGGTTTCATTTAATTTGCTCCCTGATGATGTACACTTGTTCCAAAAAGTATCTTTACGGAGGAGTCCAAGCAATTTCAAAATGAACACTGCAACTCTTATTGTCTTGGTAAGGTTGTCAAAATTCTTCATCCATTGTGTCATATTGTCTCACACACAAAATCGTAAAGATACATTTTGGAGCGAATGTGCACTGAATGTGTAGTACAATCTAATATTGTACTGAAAAAGAAGGGGTTGCTATAGACACCATAGATGAGCCAAACTTATACATGTAAAGTACAGTCATCACCTTCTTAATATACTTGACACATTCCTGTGATACGTCTCAAAACATTCCCCCCAATTTTTTTTTTTTTTTTTTTACTCTGAATTGCCTCTAATAGTGACACAAAGGTGAAATAAAATTAAAGAAACTAAAAATAGTAAAAAATATAAACAATAGTAATGTTATGTAAAGATGAGACAAAGGAAATGTGCTAGATTAGATATGAAAATGGTTGACTTAAAGATATATTTAATGATTTCCTTACCTAGAGGTCACAGCATACTGACTCACATTGGAGCAAATTTTCCACACATAAACCAGCTGGTAGATATGGGGTCCTCATACATAAATGGATCTTTATACAGTGGGGTTTCATTTTATGCAAGTCTTGTGTACACAGTTATTGCTTACTTGATTGGTTGAAATGTGACCATAGTTATAGCTTACATGGAAAGCCATGGGTAGTGCTGGTAGCGATATAGCATTGTGGTAATATTTATTTATTATTTAGCTACAAATAATTATGTATTCTATGGAAAATTTATAGGATTATACTAAAGGATCCCTCGTCTTTTTTATACCAGTGGTGTCATGATCGGAATGACGGCTACCCTGTTAAACTAATGATCCATATTACGCTTACACGTCCACAAAACCTTCTGAGTCTCCCAGTGGGAATGTCCTCCATTCTCCCTGTTTCTTTGATGACGTCATCGAGATGTCTTATGTTTGTTGACCGAAGTTGTAAACTGTTTCTGCTACCGAGACCCTGTAAACCTTTTTTTTCACCTATGAATATCAGAGACTGATAATCATAGTGAAATTGTGGTAGGGAGGTTAACTGAGGAATGAGTTAATATTCTGAAGGGAACCTTTTGAAATCTGCCCCTCGTGTTTGTAGCAAGGCGTTGCGTGTTGGTACCTGTTGCCATCCAACCTTTTGTAATCAATTTAATTCTTGCTTTTGATTGCTCAGCCAGAGCATTGTTTGTAAAGATAATAGTAGGGAATGAAACTGAGTTCGTAGTCTCGGTTTCAAACGTCAGAGTGTTACAGTAACGTAATTCAGTGAAATGGTTGAGTAGGTGGAATCTGTGACTTTAGTGGGGGTGGAAAGCAGCGGTTGGTTTTCAAATCAGTGAACTGCCACGCTTCCCTCCCACAGGTAGGTCACTCCACCTTCTCCGTGTTGTAATTCGCCATTTTTAAGTGATTTGACCTAATTAATAGCTTGATTACAAGTGTTAAAGTAACGTAGTTAATGTGCTTTGAGTGAAGTATTTTATGTCCTTACTTAATGCCCCTTTGAAACGTTGAGGTTCGTTATACACCTTGAGTGAGCCGCCAAGCTTCCCTCCCACAGGTCCCTAACGCAGCCTAGGCAGTGTCTGTAGCGTGGATGCCGCATCCACTAGTCTTGGGAGATGTCTGAGGTCCAGTGGAGTCGGGTGTCCCCTTGAACCCCGACCGTCAGAAGCTCCACTACCACCCATGGGCCCCATAGGGGGTGGTATTCCCCTAATGCCCTGCCCCTGTGGTGAACCCGGATCTTCAAGCCCCCAAACTACTGCCAGCCCCATCATTGGTGGATGAGTACAGTACATAACTCGGTGGGGCTGTTGGTGTGGTGGTGTTAGTCCACCGGAATTATCGGGGTGTTGGAAGGTGTCACTTGGTGATGAGACTCCCTTGGCGGCCACTGGAGTGTTGCCCCTGGGGTATTGAGTGTTGTACTGGCAGGTGTCACTGGTTTTGTTGGTACTAAGGTGCTGTAAGAGTTTGTGCATTTTGGTGTGTGTACACCCAGTAGTGGTGTAAGTAAATTGAGCCTGAGGGCATGGTACCAGGAGTTCCTGTTTTGGAAGAATACAACGTCTTTTCTGTAACCATTTTTGTGCTTAATAAACATTGTAGTTGTATGTGGGTCTATGATTCACCTATAGTATTCACCATTGTTCTCTCCCTAATACTCGATATTATATTTACATGTACCCATGGGCCTTCCTCTCACTTCACGCTACCAGGTCAGAGTATCAACATAAGTTGTAAGAGTGCCAAGCCCTCGCATGGTGGCAGCTAGTTGTTGTTCATACTACCCCCCCCCCCCTACAGTGGTCCTTGGCCCGGCGGTTATTCTGACTCATGGCTGGCCCTTAGAATCTAAACAGAAGGTTAGTTAATGAATATTTTCCTGATTTACCGTGTTACCACAGATTATTATAAGTTCCATCAGGTTACTCGGGTATGTTATATGCGATGGTGAGATACGTTTCGATCCTGAACGTCTCGAGCCTCTGATGAAACTGCCTTTGCCAAAAGATCCCGCCTCCCTCTGTAGGACTATGGGGATGCTAGCTCATTATTCCCACTGGATACCACAGTTCTCAGAGAAAATTCTCCCACTTGCCCACACCAATGGATTTTCCTCGTATCCCACTGCTGTCCAAGCCTTTGAAACCCTAAAGATGTATATTGCTGATTCAGTGATCCAAGCCAAAGATTCTGCTAGTCCATTCATTGTGAAAACTGAGGCTTCCGAGCAGGCAATAGCTGCTACTTTGACTCAGAATGAACTCCTGTTGCCTTTTTCTCACAGACTCTCTAACTGTGAGCAGAAGCACTCATCAGTTGAAAAGGAAGCATACGCTATAGTCGAAGCTCTCAGCAAATGGATCCATTATTTAGTCGTCCGCCATTTTAAGATCATAACTGACCAGCGCAGCATTGCCTTCATGCTCAATACCAAAGCTGCCAGTAAAATCAAGAATGACAAGATTGCGCATAGAACTCTCTTGCTACAACAATGACATAATATACTGTCCTGGCAAAGAAAATGTCCCGGCAGATGCCCTCTCATGCGTGTATGGCTCCACAAGTGAGGGTGGGACTGGCTGCGCAACATTTGCCAGTTTGTTTTTATCTACTGTATTCACTAACTGTATTATATTCTCGTATGATTGGCTTCTTATGGTGCAGGTATTACTGTATCACATCACAAGAAGAGCCAGGGGACGTTGTGTTCCAGTTTTAGAAGGAGTTCAGTGTGAGAATTGCGGTTAATAACTTGGAGCACAGCGAGAGACAACAGTAGCCACGTTGAAACATATGTGACGGAAGCTGCTGCCTATGGCAGGTGAGGTGACCAACACTCAAGTGTTGACAGAGAATTTATTGGAGTGAACAGGGAAACCACTTTACCAGACAACATGCTACAGGAGATGGAAGAGGAGTAGAGTGAGTTTGAGGCAGCAGAAGGAAGTGTTAGTGGTGTGGCAGTACCAGAGCAGACAAGGGGAAGCATGACTCAGCAGCAGGTGATGCAATTTCTCAGCAAGGTTGAAGAACTAAAAAATGCCTTAATGAGTGTTGAGCCCAGCCAGCAACACAGTGACGAACTCGGTGCACAGTTCGACAGTTTGGTGGAACCCTACAGGCAATGTCACCAGGAGTTTATTAAATGCCACCACAAAGCTCTAATTACCACCTATTTTATGCCTCAACATGTGAAGAAGATAAAGGAGAATCCAGGCAACCTGTTGTTCTGGAGATTGGTGATTAAGCTGGTCACTCTACATGTGTCTGTAGTCGATTTTGAAGGCAATGTTGCTTCACTCCCTCTCTTTTACAGGTACTTTAACTGGCAATTTTCGGTGGATTTGGCAACCTGTGTACCGCTGGCAAGGCCATGGGTTTGTAACACTCGTCTTGCATGCGGTGCCCACTGTTATAGTACATCCTTCTTTCATCATACAGCCAAACTGTGGAATGCTCTGCCTTCTTCTGTGTTTCCATACTCATACCATCTGTCTCACTTTAAAAAGCTGGTTTTCTGGCATCTTCGTGGTGTAGATTAATTAAAAAAAATTTCTTTCTGTTTTTAATTTCTTTTTCCTCATATTCTTTTGCCTCCCAGGCCCCATTGTGGGTCGATGACCTGTGTCTGGGTGGGCTATTCCCCATAAAAAAAAAAAAAAAATATATATATATATAGCCTTCACCCCCTGCCTCAGACTTCCATCGTCCCCCACAGAACTAAAGGTAATTCTAGAGTAAAGGTCTGGCAAGTCCAATACAATGTAGTGATTTTAACAAGTGATAAAGGGCATCGCTTGCACGGATTTCAGATGCACGGATGCGTACCAGTACAATATACCCATGCAAAATTAGACCCCACTGTATAGTATATACTGAACCCACACAAATTCTTACCTGTCACATCAGATATAGGTTAAGAACATACTACAGTATTGTACTGTACCTAGCTCAGAAATCAGCACAACGTGTACTAGATATGGTTATGTTAAACACTCGTAGAACATTTCAAGACAACTATAATAGCCTAATGATCAACAAGTAATTTCTTTTTAAATTTTCTTACCCTGGAAACAAAAGTTTTTGTTAAGAAATAAAAAAAAGAATGTAATTCTTTAACTGGGGGATTGCAAATACATGTGCCTAAGCATGAACATTTTATACAGGATCCAATCAGGGTGTATAAGTAAATGAACAGAGATATTCATATTATTTATCAAAGCTTATCTAAAGCTTAATAAAATTTAATAAGATTTGATAGAACAACTCATTAAAGGGGTCACAGCTCAAGGTTGAAAAAGCTACAAGTTCAGAAAACTGTGAGGACAAACTTTTAGAGTGAGAATTGTGAACTCTTGGAACAATCTGCCAGTGTGTGTTGTGACGGCACCGAGTGTGAGCTTTTTCAAGACCAGACTTGACCAACACTAGAGTAGGTTCAGATAAATTCAGGAGCCACAGAGACGTGACTGACCACATAAGTGGCTAACGAGCTGATCAGTGGCGAAGAGGATAAAAGTAAAAGTAATAGAACAACTTGTACTTGAGGTAACATCGTTGCTAATGAGGAATGTCCCTTCCTCTACAGACATACTCTGTGTAATATATATGTGTGTTTATATGCTGCCTTTATTGAATATATATATTATATATTATGTTACTTCTTACCAAAGTCAGAAAGTGTTTAGGCTTGTGTAAACACGAAATGTGTTAGGCACGTTGTAACCACGAAAAGAGAATAAACGCCCAGCCAGACCGACCATGTGCTTGTCATTCTCCCATTAAATAACGCAAGATACTACACTCTGTATATAGTATAGCTCTTTGGATAGGACAGGCTCTGCCACCTATCGTAACATGTGGCAAATGGTACTGGGTATGTTGAATAAAATATTATCTCACATGATGAGGTCAAGGATACTTCAGAAGGCTTGTACTGCTGTTACAATAAATACATTATATAAACTGAAACTATAAAGGTGTAGTAAGTTAAGATATACAGTAGGTACACTAACACAACTGAAGCAAAGGCCTTGAACGCTTCAGGTACTTGTGTAGACACTAACCTGCAATCTCTTTGCAAATCCAAAATCTACAAGCTTAACATATCCATTGAGATCAAGGAGTAGATTCTCTGGTTTGAGGTCACGGTAGATGATTCCTTGCGAGTGTAAGTAGTCAAATGCCTCCACAACACAGGCAGTGTAAAACCTGGTTGTTGGGTCATCAAAGTTGCCTCTATCTCTGAAATGTCAAAAAGGAAATTTTTGTAAAAGGCAAGGTGGCTTGATAAATACAGTAATGAAAATTGTAAAACTGTAATATAAAACAAGCGATGAAATAATTTAAGATACTGTAACCTTAATGGGATAAATGGAGCTTCACTATAGCATTTGTTAGTCTGCTAGCATGGGTTTAGTGTAAATGCCATTACATGTATCCCAATTGTTGTTAATGATAAAGCATTGCCAGTTTTACTTTGAGTCTGTTCTATATGGTGTCAAGTTTCGTGCTTGTAAATTACCCAAATATATAGGATAACTTACTTATAGCTCACACTAATAACATACTGAGGTATTACTGTACTAAAAGTAAAACAATGTCAGTGGTGTGAAGGATTACTTTAATGTTAATAAATATCTCCATTTGCTCATACTAACCACATATACACTGCAGACAGACACAATCATTCAAGCATAATACCAACTACTGTGTAATTAAAATTATTTTATATTGTAATATCTTGAAAAGTAGAATGCACATTCAATATTGCCACTAAAACCCATGTGTTATACTTCTTGTCTAAATTTTTTCCTAAGCCTACCTGAAACACTATACAGTACAGGTTGTACCTCTCTAGTCCGGCAACTTCGGGACCTGACCGGTGCCGGACCATGGAAATTGCTGGACCATGGAAATTCACCCTTTTCCTGGATAGATAGTGACTTGTGCTTATGCTTGGAAGCACTAGCACCACTTTCTCTGCATCATGGTCTCCTTGAAGACATATTGAAGGGTTAAATGTCGTATAGTAGCTTCTCAAATTTCGCGAGTTTTTAATTCTTAACGTATTTTATTGGAACACAAAAAAATAAATAAAAAACAATTTTGATGGCGGAAACTTGAATTTTGATGGCGGAAACTTGAATTTTGACGGCGGAAACTTGAATTTCGACGGGTTTGAACGGCCCGCCAACGTGCAGACGACGTGCATAATTGTGTAAACAGCGTCATTTCTCTTATGTACAAAAGATTCATTATTGTTTATTACTGGATGTCTTTTTTATTGAATTAATGTTTGTGTGCAAAATGAGCAATACAATTCATTAATAATACGTAGAATATTAAAACACAAGAGGAAATGACACAGCATTGTTTTCGTTGATTACAAAACCAGTGACTGACTGGTTCTACATATAAAACTGAAGAAAATAAGACCTTGGTTGTAGCTGTAGTAAAATTAATATGGTTGTTTTAAGTAATGTTATTTAATGTTAATAAATGGAACAATAGAAGTAGCTAACGATAATGGTAAAGAAAAAAGAGAGATCGCGTATGTAAGTGCGCATGCGCACACGTGAGAACATATAGTCATTACTTTACATAAGAATATGAAAGCAACATTTATTTACTGTTCATATATATTTTAATTAATGTTTCTGAATTTGTTTTTATTGAATTAATGTGTGTGTGTACAAAATTACCAATACAATTTATTAATAATACGTGGAATATTAGAGGAGACGAGACGGCTGCCGGCATTGTTTATGTTAAAGCTTACGAAACCAGTGACTGATTGGTTCTACATATAAAACTGAAGAAAATAAGACCCTGAGTTTAGCTGTAGTAAAATTAATGTAAAAAAAATTAATATGGTTGTTTGAAGTACCTGTAATGTTATTTAATGTTAATAAATGGAACAATATAAGTAGCTAACCATTAATGGCAAAAAAAAAAGTGAGACTGCGAGTATGTAAGTGCGCACATGTGAAAACATATCGTCATTACTCTACATAAGAATATGAAAGCAACACTTATTTACTGCTCATATATATTGAAGGGTTAAATGTTGTACTCTGTATAGACAAGCAGAGAGAGAGAGAGAGAGAGAGAGAGAGAGAGCAGCCGAGCTGCTGGATGTAAACAAACCTTAATTTCCCGCGGCTTTGTTTGTTTTTTTGTTTTTTTAAGGGGATTAGCCCACCCGGGCATAGGTCACTGACCCACATTGGGGCCTGAGGGGCAAAAATGTAATACTCCTGTAATAATAATTCAGATAAGTAAAAAAAAAAAAAAATAAAAAAAAAAATAAAAAAAAGCTGCGTATCTACCTATTGGACAAACTAAATTCGTTCCGGACCACGGGAGTTTCTGGACCACAAAATGCCGGACTAGAGAGGTACAACCTGTACACACTATGAACCCCCATTACTGTACCGAATGTCTCTATTTGTTATATTAATTTTATTTTTTTATACATTTTGGCATCTCTTCATTACTCTACCATACTACTCAGTATTTGTGGTTTTTAATGTTCAATTTGTGGAATAAATTTGCCACTATATGACACCTAATTACAGGGCAAGTTTAATTTATCTCTTGGGGTCATCGCCAGTATTTTCTACGTCTTTCAACATTTCTTTAACAGTTAATGGCACTCCAATTGTGTTCATTTTACACTATCATAAACTGTATATGGTACTTTCATACTGCACTTTATAACACACTTTCATAATATTCTTGATTTAGTAATACACTTTCATTTAACACTATATCATACACTTTCATTTTATGTACGTTTAAAAATACCTGACTAAACCACTTTTTATTTTACAAATTCATATTACAGAGGGGGACTAAAAGTAGCATGCATGCCTCTCAGCACTTCAATCAGGGCATCAAAGATTTTTAATGGGTAGTCCAGCATTCTTCAGCACCTACACGGGACTAATTTGACCAGCTAGTAAGCTGATAGGTGGCAAACCAGATAAATAATACTTTTTACATACAATTATGTTCCTGAATTATGGAAAAAACTGATGGACCAATCCTGATAACCAATTTTACAACCTGCCCAGGATACAACATGTGAAGATGCCTGTCGAAGGCTGTGGGCTTATGAATCCAGGAAAACCCTAATGTATGAAAGCTGGGGCTAATCTGAAGATTAACCATCTCTCCTATAGCAACTTTTGCCTTTAAATGGGTGTCTGATAAGCTACACTTTCCATATGGCTGTGAACTTACAAGTTGTGGTTCTCATAGCAGGTGCTACCAATTTTTTTACATATTCAAGCTCCGTAACAAAGCATGAAGCAGGATAAACCTCACTTCTACAAAAGGCCCCAAGTCATTCTATCTGATTTTCTGCTAATAAAAATGGGATTTCAGGTTGAAATTCTTCATTTATATAAATATGTCAGCTACAAAAGAGGAAAAAAGCAAAGCTCTAAGTGCTGTGCAGCTACTGTATATACACTTCATAAAGGAGTCTCATTTTGGTAATCAATCTATCTTTGTCCAAACTCTCATATTTCATAGTCATCTGGTGGTGCCTGGATCATCTATAGAGGCTACAACAGCTTGAAAACCCAGTGGCCTCTGGAAGAAGGAACATCAAGTTTCAATGTAAGGAAATCCATACAGGACCCTAATCAGAGAGTTTTACCTCAATTTTTAATTGGTGTAATAGTGTAATTACTAACCTTATTGCTCGCTAAAGATCTTAATTGTTGAAGCGCAGTAATAACAATATAACAACAACAATATGGGCCAAGAAATATTCAAACAAAGTGTACATACCTAGTGTGTAACTCAAACCAAACAATCTCCAGCAAAGAAGAGCTACAGGAACCTATAATAATCACACATGCAATTGGAAACCTGAAAGTATGGACTCAAGATTACATCCCCATCTACTCTCTGACTCGAGGAAGTATAAAAAAGCATAAGTGAAGTTGAGAGAGCTGAAAGAAGAGGGAAACTAAAACTTGCCATGTCAAAACAGTGCTAACAGCATAAAATTTAATTTCAACTGGCTTAGTTAATAAATCGTATGAAACCTCCTATCGAGAAGAGGGAACAGATCTCACCAAAGTTATTCCAGTCAAGGAAAAACATAACTAAATTTTGCTCCAATCCTCCTGAAGAATAGGTGGTAAAATTACAGGGTGGTGGTGTTTTATCAACATTACAACTAAGTTCAAATGTGCAGAAACACCCAGATAAAGAATCTATGGAAAGATTCTTGATGTAGCGTCCTCTCTGATACTTGCATCCTACTCTTGACAGAACACCTCTCATAATTATAATCCATATAATAGTAAGCAGCCACAGTGGAACACAATAGTTTTAATACAAGAAGAAACATTTCAATAGTTAATTATCCTACAGGAATGGACAGAGAGGATCCCTATTTCTCAATACTGTACCGGTACATGCCACTGTAAACACTATTCCTTATTGGAATTAACCAGGGAATAGAAGCCAATCGATGATTGAAAGCATCTCTCCAGACCAACCAACAAATTGCTAGTTGGAACATTTCAAGGGACAGATAAAGACTTAAGTCTCCTGTCAATCTACTGAGGAGAGCCAACTTACGCTTCCAAATGATTAGAATATGCATAACCCTTAAATGAGTCGAGATTTGGTTCATCCACATGACCACTGGCTTATTAATTAGACTACTGAGGATCTTGACCTGGGTCCTGAAATTAAATGTATCTATACAAGATTCTTTTACACTGCCTGTGTGACATGCACCTCTGAGATAAGAAGGCACAATCCTTCCTGGGAATGAGACTGATCCTCTCAGTTGGAAAACCAACTAACTCTTCCTTACTGCTCCACTAGAGGTCTAGTCATTACCAATAACCCTATCTAATAAGAACATGAGTCACCCTGGGAAGGAGGACAGTCGAATCACTTAGTCTCGAGCACAGCTATAAAATGAGATTTCAGGGTCAATCCTCAAGTTATAGCTTAATGTCTTCCACTAACCCTTTCACTGTGGCTGGTACATATATGGTCTCTCCTCATTTTTAGGATCCATTGAGACTGCTACATATAAGATTTCTTGCATTCAAAATTCCTGCATAAGATGATTCGTCAAAATATTTCTGGTACATACTACAGTACAGTATTTGTTGCCATATACAGTAGTGGTCAACTATATTTCTTTGACATAGGAAAATACCCCTCAAGATGGTAGAGCAACCTGTATGACAACAATGCATTATCAG